ATTGTTTTTTTTATTTGTACATTCCTGTGTGCCAATCCTCCAGCCCTTTTGCCCTGCTTTGAATTGAAGAACATCCTTTCATTTGTCTCGTCTGACCTTTCTTGCGTCTCCTCTCCATTCTCCCTGCAGCTCTTGCTCTCATTTCTCTTCAGCATCTCTCCATCTGTGCTGATATTTTCTTTTTTCCCTGGCAGCCGCTCAGTGATGGAGAGAATGATCACATTTGAGCAGTAGAAGTGAAACAAACCCGACTCACAGACAGACAGAGGGAGATGCAGCTTAAAGCAGGCTGTGGATTATATCTGATAGATGCCCTTTTAGGCCAAACAGAGCGCAGCTTTAAAGGGCTTTAGGAGGACGTGGCTATAGTTTCCTGGATGGCGTTGTGGGTCAAAGTGACGGTGGAAACATGCACAACATGCACACTCATGCACACACTGGATTAGTTTACAACAACGTCAATGTTCCCAAATGATCCACGCCGCCCCAGCGCATCCCTGACACACCCCCTCGCTCTGTGCACCTAAATACTCGCTGACCTGCTTTCTCTAAGCCCGTCGCTCGTGATCAACTTAAAAAAAAGAAGACGTTTTGTGGGACTGTGAGGTGAACAAAGACGCAGCCTTTAGTGGAAACTGTGACTCTGATTCCTCTCTGTGTGCTGGGAGCTGTGGGAGTATTGGAAATCAGAAATCAATACGTGTTTGTTTAGCGAATTGGAAAAGGCAAGGATTTTCAATTATTTCTTTTTCCCTCCCTTTACTCTCTCTGACGTCATCACTGTTTGTATTTGAGGTCCTTTTCTGCTTTTTGGGGTGTTCCCTCTCTTGTAGTGTGTTATACAGTATAGCTTTTGGTGCATGTCAATGGTTTGTAAAGGATAAAATGCCAAACTCTCCCCCCCTGCCTGAAACGCCTCCATTGGCCTCCTTTGTTTACTAGTAACATCACTATGTAATGTGCTCCTATTGGCTGGCGCTCCAACACATTGTACGTGACACATTGTGCAGGACATCTCTAAGCGGTTGACCAATCACAACAGAGCCGGCCAGCTAACCAATCAGAGCAGACTGGGCTCTGGTTTCAGACAGAGGGTGAAAAGAGGTGCTGCAGAGGCACAGGCAGTATGAGAAAAATAAAGAGCTTTTTGAACATTACTGTTTGTTTGTAAAGTCTCTCCTCACCGCTGTAATCCTTGTGAGAGTGTGTTTACAGGACTTTGCGCCAACATTTAAATCCTGAAATGTTGCTCCCTCATAATCAGTTAATCAGAGGAGCCTGTGTGTGTGTGTGTGTGTGTGTGTGTGTGTGTGTGTGTGTGTGTGTGTGTGTGTGTGTGTGTGTGTGTGTGTGTGTGTGTGTGTGTGTGTGTGTGTGTGTGTGTGTGTGTGTGTGTGTGTGTCATTGTACATTTGCTTATCAAATAAGAATGAAACTACCAGTTGATGAAATGCTCTGTATAAAACCAAAGATTGTTGTCTTGCACACAACAGAAGCCTTGGAGACCAACTTCCTGTTGATTGACTAATATACAGCTCCTAAAAATGTGTTTTTTGTAACAAGAAGAACCAAAAATAATGTGTGTATTGTCCAGACGGAGTGGCAGCAGTTCCCTCTCTCAGTAAAAACACCTTCCTCCTCTGATTGATATTTTAAAAAAACTCCTAAATGCTAAAATGGTCTCCTAGTTTCACACGGTACAGTTTTACAGTCACACTTCTGCACACACACAGCCTCCATCCCACTTATTACAACATGTCCTTGCAGCCAGCTCACCGGGCTAAATAAGGATGTGAAGATCAGGAAGACTGTGAGATGCCATGTTGTCCAAATTTAGAGGAGCAGATTAAAGTGAGCTGGCCGGCTCCTCCGTTCTAAAACAAAGGGAAGAGAGAAACACACCTACAAGCCCAGAAATACACAAGTGAACGCCAGCATTTAAAGTCCAACAATCTCAAAGATTCTGGAGCTTTCCTTCTGTTGGTGTGTTCAAAACGGTACAAAACTGCAAGATAGTAATTGTTCTAAGAAAGGAAAGGAAGCATTTAGGATTTTAACTTCATAACTCAGACTGTGTGTGAACAATGACTTCTCAGATGATTTGTTTTTATGTTTTTTAACAAGCCTTCTCTTATGAAAGATCTGCAATGCATGCTTTGTTTTGTTCTGAGTCGATTACTTTTATATGGTTATTTTATGGGGCTGCTTTGTGTGTTTGTATACCACGCTTCACAGGCTTCTGATGGAAAACACCTCCCTGAATAGTGAACTCTCCAGCCTCGATTTTCTCTTTTCAAATGTGCTTAAAATAAAACGCTAGTCTTTTATTTGTCAAAAAATGATATTGTGCAAATGACAAAAGAGCGTTTGAATCTAGAACCTAGCTTCAGGTTATGTTGAGTGTTTTTAAAGACACTTTTTGGAGTCATGGATCATCTGCTTCTTAACGTGTAGTAAAACTTCTTCTTGTTTTGACCACCTGTCTTTGTCTTTTTCCCAGGATCCTTCGGTGCAGAAAATGGGCGGATGCAGGAAGAAGACGGTGTCCTTCAGTAGCATTCCCTCTGAGAAGAAGGTAGGTCAATCTGCTATATATATACATCTGCTATATATATACAACAACAATAGAACGGTATTTTCACATTTATCTTGTCATTTGACTATATTCTCAGATATGTTTGTTGTTTTGTGAAGCCCTCTGAGACAAATGTGTTTTGTGATACTGGGCTATATAAATACATTTGAATTGAATTGAATATAATGTCCTTTTGCACTCATAACCAGAGAGAAAGTACACACATCCTTTACTCAAGTAGAAGTACAGATACTCGTGTTGAAAAATACTCTGGTGAAAGTAGAAGTACTGACTAAACTTCTTTACTCAAGTAAAAGTAAAGAGGCTTTGAAATGTACTTCAGTAAAAAGTACCCATAACTAGCAGCTGTTTTAAAGAGTACCTGACCTCCCTTTATATTAATAGAACAATAATGTCATTGTTAGCTAATGAATGTTTCCATGCTGAACAACGGCAACATGACAACGTTTTCATTGGTCCCTCTTCTTTAGAGAAGACCAGGAAATGATGGATACACGGATCGTGTTCAAATCAATAGGCACGCAATGACTCTAAATAATAATGATCACGCCACCAAACACACATTCAAACTAAAGGAACCAGCCTGTTTGGGAAATGTGAGAAGTAGAAAGTACAGGTATTTGGGTTCAACATGTAAGAAGTAGAAAGTACAGGTATTTGTGTTCAACATGTAAGAAGTAGAAAGTACAGGTATTTGGGTTCAACATGTAAGAAGTAGAAAGTACAGGTATTTGGGTTCAACATGTAAGAAGTAGAAAGTATAGGTATTTGTGTTCAACATGTAAGAAGTAGAAAGTACAGGTATTTGTGTTCAACATGTAAGAAGTAGAAAGTACAGGTATTTGTGTTCAACATGTAAGAAGTAGAAAGTACAGGTATTTGTGTTCAACATGTAAGAAGTAGAAAGTACAGGTATTTGAGTTCAACATGTAAGAAGTAGAAAGTACAGGTATTTGGGTTCAAAATGTAAGAAGTAGAAAGTACAGGTATTTGTGTTCAAAATGTAAGAAGTAGAAAGTACAGGTATTTGGGTTCAAAATGTAAGAAGTAGAAAGTACAGGTATTTGTGTTCAACATGTAAGAAGTCAAAGTAAAAAGTGGTCAGCAAAATAAGTAGTGGAGTAAAGTACTGATAGAAAAAGTACTTAAGTACAGTAACAAAGTATTTGCACTCCACTACTTCCCACCTCTGATGGTTGACTCTCCCCCCCAGGTGAGCAGTGCAGCCGACTGCCTGGCCTTCATGCAGGGGGGCTGTGAGCTGAAGAAGATCCGGCCCAATTCCAGGGTCTACTGTCGGTTCTTCACGCTGGACACAGACCTCAGCTGTCTGCGCTGGGAGCCGTCCAAGAAGGACTCGGACCGGGCGCGCCTCGATGTGTCCGGCATCAGAGAGGTCCGCACGGGGAAGAGCACCGAGACATTCCTCCACAACGGACCAATCACAGAGCAGCTGGCCGAGGAAGCTGCCTTCTCCATCATCCATGGGGACGACTACCAGGTACAGAGAACAAAAAAACTGTTTAAAGACATATACACATACAAAAAAGGATGTACTATAAGACTATGAAAGATTACTCGAAGTATAGAGTAACACACAATGGAAATACTCAAGTAAGCTACCTCACAATGTGTACTTAAAGGTCCCCTATCATGCAAAATGCACTTTTTGATGTCTTTTATACATAAAGATGTGTCCCCGGTGTGTCAGGGAACTCACAAAGCGTTAGAAAATAAAACCCTCTCTCTTTTCCTCCGTACCCAAATCTCTAAAAACGGGGGTACAACGGAGCTGATCCAGATTTGCGTCCGATATGACGTAATATCTGAAATGTGGACCCACGGCCCTATCAGAAACGTTGCTATCAGAAACAATGCGCGTCATGTTTTGGACGTAATAGGTTCTTTGTTTACATTAGCATCGCTAACACTCAGAGCTAACCTGTACTGGAGAGAGCATGTGTAAAAAAGCAGGAAATTAAAAAAAGGAACTCACCTTGTGGTAAACCTGAGAGAGAGAAAGCCTTTGAGCTCCATACTGTTTCAGAAAAAAATCCGTGATGTGGTTTGGAACATGATATGGTGTTTAATCTCGGCAGCATTTAGCTGAGTAGAATTCTCCCGCATGAGCTCTCTTCTCGTTTTAAAGCTAAGGACCGGGGCTGAAAATAGAGGGATATGAGGCTAGAATGGGTGATCTGTTTGGTATTTTGAGCACAACACTTCATAGACATGTTTTTTATATATCTGAGACCTGTAATATATGCCTAAAATTAGTATAATAGGAGACCTTTAAGTGCTGTTCTTCAGAGATGGTAAAAGTACACACATCCTTTACTCAAGTAGAAGTACAGATACTCGTGTTTAAAAATACTCTGGTGAAAGTAGAAGTACTGACTAAACTTCTTTACTCAAGTGAAAGTAAAGAAGTATGGGCTTTGAAATGTACTTCAGTAAAAAGTACCCATAACTAGCAGCTGTTTTAAAGAGTACCTGACCTCCCTTTATATTAATAGAACAATAATGTCATTGTTAGCTAATGAATGTTTCCATGCTGAACAACGGCAACATGACAACGTTTTCATTGGTCCCTCTTCTTTAGAGAAGACCAGGAAATGATGGATACACGGATCGTGTTCAAATCAATAGGCACGCAATGACTCTAAATAATAATGATCACGCCACCAAACACACATTCAAACTAAAGGAACCAGCCTGTTTGGGAAATGTGAGAAGTAGAAAGTACAGGTATTTGGGTTCAACATGTAAGAAGTAGAAAGTACAGGTATTTGGGTTCAACATGTAAGAAGTAGAAAGTACAGGTATTTGTGTTCAACATGTAAGAAGTAGAAAGTACAGGTATTTGGGTTCAACATGTAAGAAGTAAAAAGTACAGGTATTTGTGTTCAAAATGTAAGAAGTAGAAAGTACAGGTATTTGTGTTCAACATGTAAGAAGTAGAAAGTACAGGTATTTGTGTTCAACATGTAAGAAGTAGAAAGTACAGGTATTTGTGTTCAACATGTAAGAAGTAAAAGTAAAAAGCAGTCCAAAAGTAAGTAGTGGAGTAAAGTACTGATAGCAGAAAAATGTACTTAAGTAGTGGAGTGTATTTGTACTCCACTACTTCCCACCTCTGCTGTTCTTGAGTAAATGTACTTCCCCCCTGCTCAGTAACGTCTCTCTGTCTCTCCACAGTCTCTGGATCTGGTTGCATTGTCTGCAGACGTGGCAAACATCTGGGTGACGGGGCTGCGCTACCTGCTGGCTCACCCCTCAGTGATCGGGGGGGCGAGGGGAGAGGGGGGCGTGGGAGGGCTGGGTGAGGGGGGGTGTGTGGATGGGAGTGTTGGGGGGAGGATGAGGAGCGAGTGGCTGGCAGCAGAGTTCTCTCAGGTCGATGAAGACGGGTACGGCATCGTGTCGGAGGACGTGGCCGTAGCTACCATCTGTAAACTCTGTCCTGGGATCAGGGAGGCCAAGGTGAGGGGGCTCTCAACTGTTTTTACATTTAAATAAAACATGTTTAAGTATTTGTATTGTATTGTTTTTTAGAATTTTAGAATTTTCTAATTACTTTTTTACATTTGACATATTTTAATAAACATTTTTTAAATAATATATACAAATTAATATGTTTTATCTGTATCAGGTGACTTCATAGAGCACAAGGACATGTATATAGTCCTATTAGGACACAATTATATACAAAAAACTAGCAAAATATATAAAAAACTAATACAAAAAAGTAGAACTTCATATTTTCAGGGAGGCCAAGGTGAGGGGGGAGAGGGCTCTGAATTGTTTTTAAATTTAAATAGTATTTTTATTTATTCTTTTTACAATTTTTAGATTGTTTTTATTACAAATGTTTGTTGTTGTTTTTTCACAGATTTTCTTTGGATATTTTTATTAACGTACTAAACCACATATAGATCAGTATACAATTTAATTAAAGACCCATTGAAAAAAGAAGAAAATAAAAAATAAATATAATAATAAAAACAAGCAAACAACAACAGTGACATGGAAGCCTTCTAACTTATTACAAATGTTTTTATAATAAATACAAATTCATATGTTGTATCTGTATCAGGAAACTGACGAAGCACAAGGACATGAATATAGTCCTATTAAAGGTGGGGTAGGTAGGTTTGAGAAACCGGCTCGAGATACACTTTTTGTTATATTCCATGGAATGCTCTTAACATCCCGATAGCAATGAATATCTTAAATGCTTTGACAAAAAATCCATAAAAAAATGACATCTGTGGAAGCCGTAGTACTGTAAAAAGCACGACCAATCATCTGAGCCGGCCCGGCTAAAATAACTGGATGGCCTACCTGCCTGTCAGCCTTCCATCGGGGCACAAACTTATCTCGTGCCCTCATTGGTCACGTCCGCGTTCGTGTGTGTTGGAGGAGGGGCTTAGATTTTTTCCGGTTGTGTATTTTCAAATTCTAGCGCACTCGAGCTGGTTTCTCCAAAATCACCTACCACACCTTTAAGATACAATTATATACAAAAAACTAGCAAAATATATCCAAAAAAATGTGTTTAAAAAAGAAGTAGAAATTCATATTTGAATAAAAATAATGATATAGTACAATGATTTAAATATATGAATGATTTAATATATGTAAAAAATATGTAGGTGGAACATTCATACATATCAGAAGAAGGTTGTATACATAATATACGTCAAACATTAAAGATTTGTTTGACAGAAAGCATTACATTACACGTCACTTGTTAGACGCTTTTATCCAAAGCGACTAACTAACTCAATACTGTGGGCAATCCCCACGGGAGCAATTTGGGGTGAAGTGTCTCAGGGACACAACGACATGCTGACTGCAGTGGGGTTTGAACCTGTGCTCCCCTGATCCGAACACCAACGCACTAGACCACTACGCCACACGCCTCCACATTATTTTTAAATTATTTAATATCTATAGATAATCTTGAGTCATTTGGTCCACGCTCAAATATCTTGTCCCAGTTGTCTTGCTTCAACACAGCTCCGATAGATCCTCCATGTTCTGGTGCAGAGGAACACACTTCATGTATTTACTGAACATCTCTGTAATCAGGAGTGTGTGTTTCGCCTCCCTTCACACACAGCAGGAGAGGTTTGTTCTGGAATTGCTGCAGAACATTTAATCCCTCCCGTCAAGAGATTAGTTTTTTGTCATATTGGATTTCTGGAGCTCAGTTAGACACAATCTGCGTTCTTCTCCCATGTTTCCCTTTTCTTTAAAGCTGACTGAACAAAGAATCGGAAAATATAAAAATGGAAAGACATGACTGCAAAAACACAGACACATTTACGAAGATTATACCAGAGAGGAGATTACTTTCTGAGCACAGGGTTAGATGCATTGATAGAAGAGGAAGCATATGACAGAGAAGGAATGATTTATCATTGTGTATTTAATGTGGGTCACTTTAATATCCTTATTTAAACTGCATGACTGACGTTTAATCAGGAAGCAATGGATGCATGAGGTGTAATGTTTTCCTTGCTCTAAGAAATGCTGTTCTGAAACACGTACAGCGACTTTATATTTGTACGATACAGTGTTCGTGTGAAATGTGAAATATGTATGCATTATTTATTTTGTTCTGAAATGATCAGTCTTCAGGTTGTAGAAAAGTGTAGAAATGTGCAAATTATACACAGGAATGAATGGAAGGTTTACAGTGTGGAGTACGAGGAATGTCTCACAAGATGTCACGGGGTGTGCATTAATATAACTAATAGTGTGTAGTAGAAGTTAAAGAGTCTGTTGGCGGGGGTCCCGGGCATATTGACTGGTCCAGTAGCAGCTGGGATTGGTTTTTATATCATTAATTTAAAGCAGGGGTGTCAAACTCAAGGCCCGGGGGCCAAATCCAGCCCGCGACTTCATTTAATGTGGCCCCGCAAGAGCTTGCAAAGAATATAATACGTTTATTATACGGTTACATGCCGCTTTACAGAAGCACGTTGCCCATAAACGACATGTCCCACAATGCATCTCGTTTTGTGACATGCGCACTGAAGAGACTTGCAATTATTTGCCCTGGACTTCTGCTTTCAGACGTAGTTAATTATTACCCTATCCGATAATAATCCAATTCAGAGGCAATAATGTAATATAATACATTATTTTATATATATATTATATATTTATATAGTTACAACCGGCCCTTTGAGTGCAACCATAATGCTAATGTGGCCCGCGATGAAATTGAGTTTGACACCCCTGATTTAAAGTGCTTAACTCTTTCATTAATATTCACCTTGTTTATTACATGGCTTTGTTGAATACTCAAATCTTATTGGTCAATTAAGACATTCTGTTATTTATGTATCAAACCACTGCTAAGGATGCTCTGATCTTAGGACCATGTCCAATCATGTCACTCCAAAGAAAAACTTCAATTTAGCAACATCATCTGGGACCCAAAAAACACATTGCTTAAGTTCCTCCATCGGAAACACAAAATCCAAAAAAAATGTATATTAGTGGAGAGACTATTAAACACCTGAACTTTAGAAAGAAGTCCATGAACATTCATCTGTTTGCATCGTGCAAATTATTTATCTAATAGATCAAATTCCATTTACTTGTACTGTATATAGACTCTTCTTGTACTACTATTTTATTTTATTTGTATTTACTATTTTATCTGTTTTATTTGTTCTATGTCCTATATATATGTTGCACTGTTGGAGGAGCCTGTGACTTCAGATTTTCATTGACATAACTACACTGTAGCTAATCTACCCTTGAATTTTGAATAACTACCATCATTTTAAGTAACCATCGCTGTTGCTGCTAAAACTGACTATTTATTCTTAGTTGAAGTTATTCAATCATCAATCATTATCCCGTTTATAACTCACCTCCCTCCCCTCTTTCTCTCAGGTGCGTCAGCGCTTCAAGGAGATCCAGCGCACTAAGGAGAAGCTCACCTCCCATGTGACCCTGGAGGAGTTTCACGAGGCGTTCGGCGAGCTGTGCACCCGGCCCGACGTCTACTTCCTGTTGGTGCAGCTGTCCAAGGACCGCGAGTGTCTGGACCCTCAGGACCTGCGCCTCTTCCTGGAGACGGAGCAGGGTTTATCTCTGGCGACCACTGAAGGCTGCTGGGAGCTCCTGAGGCGCTGCGAGCCGTCTGCTCAGGGCCGGGAGCGAGGCCTGCTGGGATTGGACGGATTCGCTCGATACCTGCAGTCTGCAGAGTGCCAGCTGCTGGACCCCGAACACCTGGGGGTCTGCCAGGACATGAACATGCCCCTGTCTCACTACTACATCAGGTGAGGGGCCTTTATTTACTCACTTATAGCCAGATGATTGCATTATTACAGAGATAGCATAGGATTACAAAGCAAATGTTGGAAGTAGGATATTATTTGGAGTATTGTACTTAATTATGTTCCATTTATTGTGTCCCCCAGCACCTCGTACCGCTCCTACCTGCTGGACGATCAGGTCCACGGCCGAGCGGACCTGGGGGGTCTGATCAAAGCTCTGCAGACCGGCTGCCGCTGCATCGAGCTGGGAGTCACCGACGGCCCAGAGGGGGAGCCTCTCCTGGGGTGGATTATGGTCCTGACATCTCCCGCCACCATCACCACCATCACCACCACCACCAGCACCACCACCAACACAGCCCAGTGACCGTGCGCTCTGCTCTGGAAGTAGTCAACAAGTACGCCTTCCTGTCCTCCCAGTTCCCCCTGCTGCTCTACCTGTGCCAGCGCTGCTCTCCGGGACAACAGCGCACCTTAGCTCAGCATTTAAAGAAAGTCTTCAGCTCCCGTCTTTACACCCCGGAGTCTTTTCCTGCCAGCCTGGGGGGCCGAGCCACAACCTTACCCTCCCCCGAGCAGCTGAAGGGACGCATCCTCATCGTGGGGAAGAAGCTGCCTCAGGAGCAGGACGCGTCTGAAGGGGAGATATCTGAAGAGGACGAGGAGATTGGAGGTGGGGGTCCTCTGGCTGGACGAAGAATGACCATCCCTGGAGAGGAGGAGCTGGGCGTCGTCTTGGTGGTGCCTCCTCCGTCCCAACCCAGGAAGCTACGCCTCCACAAAGACCTGTCAGATTTAGTAGCGATCGCTCGTACGGGAAGTCGCAGTTTCTACGCCCAGAGAGCCACCTACAAACCGCAGCAGTCTCCCCCCAGCAGCCCCTCTTCTCCTGGGACTCCTTCAGCTCCTGAGCCTCCTTGTTGGACGCTTTGCTCCCTGGGTGAAGGGGAAGGAGGGCGTCTGACCACTGAGAGCCCGGAGGACCTGGTGATGTTTACCAAGCGCACCCTGACCCGGGTACGACCCAGCTCTGTGCGTCTGGACTCCAGTAACCCCAACCCTCAGGGGTACTGGAAGGGAGGGGTCCAGCTGGTGGCGTTGAACCAGCAGACCCCCGGCGCCATGCTGGACCTCCACAGAGGACGCTTCTCTCAGAACGGAGGCTGTGGGTACGTTCTGCGCCCGGCTGTCATGAGGGACGAGGTGTCATACTTCAGCGCTCACACACAGGGCTGCGTGCCGGGAGTGCCCGCTCAGACTCTGAGGATTAAGGTGAAGATATTTATATTTGTATCTAATTTTCCACTTGCAATGCAGAAACCAAATACAGATGAAATCCACTAAATACAAATAGGACAGAGTTATTATCTACGGACATTAAAAGACACACAAAAACAGTAGTAAAAGAGTGGAAAGAAAAATATATCAAACCTTGAACAAGTTGCTATGTACAACTTTTTGAAAGGTCTTCAAACTTGGCACACATGTCCACTTGGTCTCAAGGATGAACTGATTAGGTTTTAGTTTTGAAAGGTCAAAACATGGAAGTTAATTGCAACATGACTGGTAGCCATGAGTCAGTGATTCTGTTTTTTTATTTTGTATTTGTACCCACATAAAACTGCATTAAAGGGGACCTATCATGCAAAATGCACTTTTGTACGTCTTGTATACATGAATATGTGTCCCCGGTGTTCCAGGGAACTCACCAAGTGTCAGAAAACACAACCCTCTCTATTTTCCTCCATACCCAAATCTCTAAAAAAGGGTCTGCAACGGATCTGATAAAAACTGATCCAGATTTGAACACTGTCCTGACGTCAGGACGGTGGCGCTACGGCTATTGGGCCAACTCCACCAATCAGGAGGAGACAGCCACGGCCATTGCCGTTCGAAAGCGCTGGAGACGCTGTAGTACATATGCCAGGCCAGTAGATGGTGCTGTTCTCACTGAATCTGCCCAGAGCTAGAAATGGTCAAATTGAGCAAATGAGGCATGGCTAAAATGCATGATCTGTTTGGTATTTTGAAAAAAAAAAAGTATAAATATGCCTTATATAGGTATGGTCCTACACCATATTATTCAAATATAGCATGATAGGTCCACTTTAAATTAACAGAATAAAAAAATAGTGCAACAGGAGAGGTCAAGAAGTCCCCTTTACGTAAGAAGAATGACAAACAAGGACAAACATAATTTTGAAAAACACCTGTAGATCATCCGGTGTGTAGGAGAACACCGAAGGCTTCAAAAATCAGGACAAAACACTAATTTCTCTCCTTGAAACGTTGCTGTTATTATAACATATTAATAACTGCAAGTGAAGGGCCTGTAGTGTGCGGGAGTCTTTTGTTCTGCAGAAAAATCAACAAACAAGCACTCAACATGAGGAGAAACTCTAATCAGGAGACAACAGTCAAATAAAAACAAAGGCATGCACGAACAAGTGCCAATCATCCCAGTCTTTCATCCAAGTGTGCATGTATTCACACACACACGCACGCACGCACACACACACAAAATGAGTGTCACCATGGTTCATGAATCAGAATCAGAATCAGGTTTATTACCAGGTAGGTTGACACGTACGAGGAATTTGACTTGGTGTCACTTAAACATCAACTCATAATGAATGTAACACCTCTTCTCTGTGTTTCTCTGCTCAGGTGATCAGTGCCCACAACCTGCCGAAGCCTCAGGGCTCGGGGGCTAAAGGCGAGGTCATCGACCCGTACGTGGTTCTGGAGCTGCACGGCGTCCCGGCTGACTGTGCAGAGCAGAGGACTCGCACCGCTGCTCAGAACCAGGACGACCCGCTGTTCGACGAGACCTTCGAGTTCCATGTAAGACCTTTTACACCTGGGAGGGGTTTCTGTCTAACGCAACAGATGCTGCTCTGTTGGTGATTAGCACTTTGCTGAGAATAATGCAATTTTAGGATTGTGTGAAACCTGGAAAATGCTCATGTTTTGGAAACAGTGTTTTTGACTCTTTTCTCACAGATTTGGTGATTGCAAGTAAGGCTCTCAATGCAGTGACCAAATAAGGCTCTTTGTTTCTAGCACATAGGGCAACAGCCTATTTAATGATAATAACAAAAACAATCTTTATTTTCATAGAAATGATGCAGCTCAAAGTGCTTTGACAGTTTGGCACACAACACAAAACAAACTGAAAATAAGATACCATTGAGTTAATGTAAGACGCTAAAACATGCAACATGTGTATATGCAGGGCCGTCGCTCCCTACAGGCCGATCACGCAGACTGCGTGGGGCCTCACCTCACGGAGGGGACCTCACCTCGCGGAGGGGGCCTCACCTCGCGGAGGGGGCCTCACCTCGCGGAGGGGACCTCACCTCGCGGAGTGGGCCTCACCTCGCGGAGGGTGCCTCAACTGAGCCGAAAATGCGGCGCACCTATTCGCTTATGCGGCGCAATTAGTGTGGCGCAGCACGGCTTCGCTGCTGCGAGGCTCGACTAGCACCCCCCATATGACAACATGGAATAATAAGGGTGATATATAATGTTTTGGCAAGAGAATAAATACAATAAAATAAGACAAAAGTTCACAATGGATAACCCGATAAGTAAAAGCAAAACAGAAATAAAACAAAAATGAATATAAATCCCAAACATTATAATAATAGTAATATAAAAGACCGATAGAAGGGCGGTATTGCTGACTAAACTCCATGTTACAGAAGTATGTTTTCAAAATGTGTTTAATAAAGTAAGAGTTTGCCTCTTTAATATTTCTAGCTGTTTCCTAGTTTGGGAGTGAAGTGGATAAAAGCCGCTCCCTCAAATTTTGTTGAGGACCTTAAATAGCACTGCAAATTATATATTGAGTATATAAAATATATAGCCCAACTTTAGCCACCTTTAGCTTAGCGGTGGTGACGTGCAAATTATATATTGAGTATATAAAATAGGGCATGATGCAAAACGTTTCTAACGAGCCGGGACAAACATAAAGCTACTCTTAATGTTGTTATGCAACATAAAATATGAAAATACAGCATATAAAATCAACTTCATAGAAAAATAAAAGTTTTGTGAGACACTGAAATACAACTTTTCTTTCTTAGTTAAATTGGGGATGTTGAAATGCACATCCCAAAACGGTAGATACTGAGAAAAGCAGCAGGCTGTTCAAGCCATTTATATAACTGCATGACAGCTCTTCATCATAATCCTGTTAACCATCCGCTAAAGAGCAGAAATATTATTTTAAAATTAGAATTTTTTACATTTTGTGTCTTTTTTCTAAGAAAGATTAAATGTCCCAGGATCCGAGGATGTATAAAGTCCCATTTAAATCATAATTTTAACTTAAAAATACAATAAATCCTGTAAATCTGAAGCCTTTATGTGAATGAGATAATCCATTAATATAACCATGCATGATTTTATTGCGTAAAATTGTGTTTTAATGGGCATTTAAAAGTGCACTAGATTAAAGATTTACATGATAAATATTTATTAATATATTACATAATACATTTTTCGAGCACAAGAGAAAAAATGTCAACAGCGTAAAAGAGGCTTATGTGATTTTGGAGAGGTCCATGTCGTCTCTCCTGAAAACAGAGCGCAGAGTGCTTAATTGAAGCGAGGTCAAGGGCGTCAAGATTTAAATGAGGGTGCTCCTAATAATACACTTACTGTACATCTGCAGGGAATTTGTTATAAGAGACGTGATCTGATGTCTGTTGTGCTGACGTGACTTTTTTAACCGGTCACGGACATCAGTGTGGCTGAGCCATGAAGACAGACTGCCACAACTAATACAGCATGTTCTCTCTCTGTGTGTGTGTGTGTGTGTGTGTGTGTGTGTGTAGTGTGTGTGTGTGTGTGTGTGTGTGTGTGTGGTGTGTGTGTGTGTGTGTGTGTGTGTGTGTGTGTGTGTGTGTGTGTGTGTGTGTGTGTGTGTGTGTGTGTGTGTGTGTGTGTGTGTGTGTGTGTGTGTGTGTGTGTGTGTGTGTGTGTGTTGTGTGTGTGTGTGTGTGTGTGTGTGTGTGTGTGATGAAGGCTCCAAACTAGTTGTGTAATACACAGAGATGAGTCATTTTTTACACATGTCTTTGGTTAAAGGCATTAAATAAGGTCTGTGGTTAACACAAGCTGAATAGATTATAACGTTTTGCTCTACGATATAAAATATGTCAGTAAATACCCCATTGGTGAATTTAAAAACGGCAGTTGCTAACAAGTGTCTAAATGAGACGACTTATCGTCATCACGCCCAACATTAGCCGCCTTTAGCTTAGCGGTGGTGACGTGAAGTCATGTGACCGGGCTGTAGTTCCTTTATAGCCTAACGTTAGCCTCCTTTAGCTTAGCGGTGGTGGCGTGAAGTCATGTGACCGTGCTGTAGTTCCTTTATAGCCTAACGTTAGCCGCCTTTAGCTTAGCGGTGGTGACGTGAAGTCATGTGACCGGGCTGTAGTTCCTTTATAGCCTAACGTTAGCCTCCTTTAGCTTAGCGGTGGTGGCGTGAAGTCATGTGACCGGGCTGTAGTTCCTTTATAGCCTAACGTTAGCCTCCTTTAGCTTAGCGGTGGTGACGTGAAGTCATGTGACCGTGCTGTAGTTCCTTTATAGCCCAACATTAGCCACCTTTAGCTTAGCGGTGGTGACGTGAAGTCATGTGACCGTGCTGTAGTTCCTTTATAGCCCAACATTAGCCACCTTTAGCTTAGCAGTGGTGACGTGAAGTCATGTGACCGTGCTGTAGTTCCTTTATAGCCCAACATTAGCCACCTTTAGCTTAGCGGTGGTGACGTGAAGTCATGTGACCGTGCTGTAGTTCCTTTATAGCCCAACATTAGCCGCCTTTAGCTTAGCGGTGGTGACGTGAAGTCATGTGACCGTGCTGTAGTTCCTTTATAGCCCAACATTAGCCACCTTTAGCTTAGCTGTGGTGACGTGAAGTCATGTGACCGTGCTGTAGTTCCTTTATAGCCTAACGTTAGCTTTTTACTTCAAAACTCATAACATGGTCTTAAAATGAGGAGATTATCCTTCTGAATAAAACGTGTTAGTATCATAAACATGTGTCGCCTGCACCAGCGTTATGATGATTTACCTTGCCCCATACTTGAGTGTTAATAGTGATGAGAGGAACTGAAAGGGTGTAAAGTGAGAAGATGTGAGGAGAGTTTCACAGTGCACAGATTGAGCCTGATTTTACCCTCCAGTTGCTCGCCCTCCACTAATTTCACCATTCAGCTCGAGGTCACGACGCCTGATTAATTGCCAGTTGGATTTCTAGCTTTTCAGATTTTTTGGTCAGCTGTCTTACAGTGAGCAGTTTCCCACACGGCTGCTGTCAAAAGATCTGTTATTAACTGCAGTAGTTTTAATATTACTGGAGTAGTATTTTACATACTGAAGCTGCTGTGATTTGAACCTGAACTTCACTGCAGAACAGAATCTGCCAGACAGCTCCATATTTTCCTTACTTTATGAAAACGAGGTTATGTTTTCTGCTTGGTTCGCCATCTGTTTGTCTGTCAACAGGAAAACAGAAAAAACAACTGCCAGGATTTTTATTAAACTTGGAGGATGTGTGTACGATGGGCCATGGAATAACTCTATTTTGTATCTGAATAACAGGGCGGACACAATAAACAGCATTTCAGTTGAAAAAAATAGGGGTCACTTCAACGTGGGAAGATTTTTAAAGTCTCTGGTCAAAAAAAAATTCTGGTCAAATATTATGTGTGTTTATTTATTGATAGGAAGGAAGAACCTCATCTAGGCATGTAGATTTCATTTTGATTGAAAGGTAGGCTATTGCTAATCAAAGTCCCATCTATACACTTGTGCATAATGCAAAAAATGAACGAAAAAAATTGTTAGCAATGCCGGACCTCTTAACACAAAGAACTTTGCTCAGCTTTATACCTATATATACTTAATAAAACACAACAATTTACCTATCTAAGTTCAGTAAATACCAGCTAACAGAATAACTTTGATCAACATTGTGATATATGCCATTTGTGTTGCATTTCGGTGGTGTCGGGACAATTTTGAAAATGTGTGCCTAACTGGAATAATAATACACATTACTGCCCACAACTACAGCTCGGGGAATTCAGCAAAAACATCTTTGTGTTGTACACATTTCCACTCTCTTTCTGCTATTTGGGATGAGATTACTCTGTTTGAATAAATCATTTGAGTTGTCCAGGACAAAAAACACCAGTGGTTTTGTGCTCTGTTCAGCAAGAGCTTTACATCTGCAGGTTTTGTGGTTGTAGAAGGGCAGATTAAAGCATGTAGGGTTGGGGATTTAACAGAAAGAACAAGATGAATAAAAACGCACAGTGTGTCTCGTTGGCCTTTTGATGAAACCAGAGGCTGTGTGGACTGAAGGAGGGACAGACGAGGTCACGCTGTCCAGTTGGTGAGTATCAGACTGTTGATGCATGCGCTCATATGTCTTCATCGCTCGTCCTCCAGGCTCTGACACAGCGGACACAGGGCAGCCGCATCAGCACACACTTCCAGAACACACACTTCCAGAACACACACGTCCAGAACACACACACACACACACAACAGTGTTATCGTCCTCTGACACGACGGAAAACAAAGTAAAACTCATATCACGTGAGACCTCTGTGGCCCACTGCGCATCTACAATACACACTGTTTTCACACACACATGTTAATATATCTAATATGTATATATGACCCAATATGTATATATGTTCATTTTAATTCATTTCTTATTTTATAGTTATTTTATCTTCTTTTTTTTTTATCTTTGATTTAACTTTAATTGTATTAATCTGTGTGAATCTGTGCTGTCCTGTTTTTCATTCTTACCC